CCCCCCCCCCCCACATCCTACCAGTATGTCTCCAACTGGATATTATTTAAAAATACTGAATTTCATAACTATTATTAACGGAAAAGTACATGCAATACATTTACATAGCACACCGCTCGTGTTTTATGCTAGTTCTTACATTCCCTCCCATGCTACGCCACGCTGAGAAGAGCTCATCATCATGTGCCACCATCAAAGACCAGCCTGCAGTGTTTGGGAGCGGTGCTGTTCTGTGCAAGAAGTGTGATTGATCATCTTCTCAGCTGCCTGGTGGAAAAAAAAGAATAACTTTGCTCTTGCAAAAAGCTCAGTGACATCCTGCAAATCACTCCCCACCCACACCCCCGTCTCTATGTATTACCAGTTTACATTTGACACCACTATTGCTCCTGACTCAAAGAGCTATGAGGGAGTTACATTCAGAATATACTGTACGTGCTCCCTGCTGTAGAACACCAAGTTGTGCTAAAAACACACAAACAAACAAACAAACAAACAAACAAAACATTTGGACATGTATTAACAAGTTTAGAGAAGCTCAAAGTCTAACTGTGAAGATTAAAGTGCATTTTAGGTTCGAATATAATTGACACATGCATTCACCTCGGGCCCGAGCTAAAGGTTGGGAAACACTGAGCTACATTATACTGTGGGACATTGGACCAATTTAACCAATTTTTATGTTCCTCCTGCCAGAGGCTCCTAAGGGGTATAAAATTTCCCCTGCTTGACATTTAAAGTTCAAGCTCGGGGGAAAAAAGATGAATTCATGTTTTGTATTTTTCAATTCTCTTGTAAATAATCCATTCTTTCCTGATAATGACAATGTGCAATACCGTATTTTACCTCTGCGTGTCGCTACAGTTTCGGCAAAGGACTTCTTGCATCTTTCCTGTGTGTGACGTTCATTCCCGGAAGATGTCCCTTCCCTCCTGACACGTAGCAGCCGCTACCGAATTGGCATCTCCCCGAGCGGATTGTCGAACTCCGAGGGTAAGCGTTTATTCATGGGCTACGAATAATAACGTTTGCACAAATTGGCTTGACGTAAACATAAAGTTGGTGTTGTTGTTTAGCACAGGAAACGCCTACTCGTCCGACTGTTGTATAAACTAGACAAACAACTGCTAGCTTAGTTATCGGTATGAAGTGCTGGAAAATAAGCATGTACATGTTATTGTTTTGGTGACAACGTGTATTAATTCAAGGGCGATGACTGCACTGCTATATACATTAATTATGAGAATAGATACGGTTTAATTCAGCTATGAGTGCGAAAATGGTAGTTTTACATCAAGCTTCTGCGGCTAACAGCTGGGTGCACGTACTGTCAATAACAGTAATGTCATGTAAATAGTAAGTACATCGGATAATTATCCGTGTATTCCAAATTTATGTGTGATCTCGTTGGATACCAAATGTGTGCAGAAAATCTAACTTGTTGTGTGTCAGTTGTGGTTGTAGAGACATAATATACTATCTGTCATGAAAATGTGTTGTTTCTTTTGACAGTGAGAGATGTCTGGGTTTGACAAGTTCAACACGGACTTCTACCAGTCGAGCTACAGCGTTGATGACCAGAACCAGGCTGGCTATGGATACAACAATGAAAATCAGTATAACAAGTATGTGACCAACGCTGCAGAAGGGAATTGTTCCTCTGTTAACTCCCCCAATGACAATATAACATCGCTGCCATTGGGCTGAATCCCTTGCATGCCCATTACCACTACTTTGCAGGAAAGTAAAACAAAAAAATTACAAATAAAATGAAAAATAAATAAAGAAAGAATGCAGAATAAGGCCGATAGCACTGATTTGTGAGAGAACATGAAATTCTGCCTGACAATGGTGCTGTTGATGTTAAATCGAAGCTAGTTTTGTTGTTGTTGAGTGTTTTTGCCTGTTCCATAGGCAGTATAGTCAATATGACTACTCTCAGCAAATGGGCTACCCTGCCCCAGGGATGATGCAGCCCCAACAGCCATACACAGGACAAATCTTTCAGCCCACGCAGACGTACACCCCGTCCTCGTCACAATCCATGTACAGCAGCAGTTTTGATGATGAGCCCCCGCTACTGGAAGGTACCTATAAACTTGGAAGCTATCGCCCTCCTTGGGACAATTCATATGTGTGGGTTTTTTTTTTTTTTTGGTCTCTGTTGTAGAATTAGGAATCAACTTTGACCACATCTGGCAGAAGACTCTGACGGTTCTTCATCCTCTGAAGGTGGCAGATGGCAGTATTATGAATGAGACAGACCTTGCTGGCCCCATGGTCTTCTGCTTGGCATTCGGTGCAACACTCCTCTTGGTAAATTGCTACATGAGCATGGAATCAAAATTGCCTCAAGAGGTGGATTTTGCGTAGTCGCTGCTTTGTTTTATTTTATTCCTGTGCTATATGCATTACACTTTAACGATGGGCAGTTATTTATTTTTTTAGTTTGGGATAAATGTTGATTGTCATTTGTTTTTACTTCGTAATATTTACTTTTAAAAATTCGGTCTCTCCATCTACAGGCCGGTAAAATCCAGTTTGGCTATGTGTACGGCATCAGTGCAATTGGCTGCCTGGGCATGTACTGCCTGCTCAACCTCATGAGCATGACGGGCGTGTCGTTCGGCTGCGTGGCCAGCGTGTTGGGATACTGCCTCCTTCCCATGATTGTCCTGTCCAGCTTCGGAGTCCTTTTCTCATTACAGTGAGAGTACTTTCTAGTATGTTTGAAGTCAGGAGAGTTTTGTCCCTTGAGCACCATCTCACTCTGGTCGTTCTCTCCAGGGGCCTGATGGGAATCATTCTGACAGCAGCCATCATCGGCTGGTGTAGCCTGTCGGCCTCGAAGATCTTCATCTCTGCGTTGGCCATGGATGGGCAGCAGCTGCTGGTGGCCTACCCGTGTGCGCTACTTTACGGCGTCTTTGCGCTCATCTCCGTCTTCTAGTGATCACATTTCAGGTTTGAAACAACGGCTCTTTGCTCTTTGTGATTGTCATTATTACATTAATTGCACCAATGGCCGCAGAAGTTAAAAATTGAGCCAGCGTTTTCTTTTTTTCTTTTATCATTCCAACGGGACGATCTGCAGGCTGGAGTGTGGTCTTATTTTTTTTTTTACCCCTTCAACTTTTTTCCACCGCTCAATTCTTCTTCCTCCTTGCGATGGAGCCATGAAAAAACACTGCAGAAGGGTGAGAATCCATTTGGGGCCTGCCTGTGTTTAAATAGGACTGAAATCAGCAAATGCAGCAGATTAAGATTAGAGCCAGCAGGTGGCGCCACATGTCATCATGTTGTAGATGTCATGTGCATCCATGGACCCTTGCGCCAAGGACATCATCATCTTCCTCTGCTTCTTGACACAGAGTGGAAGAGGTTCTCTTGGGATTCTTTTCTGTCGGGATGCTTTTCGGCAAAACAAAACTCCACTTTGCACAAACACCCATTTTAAGAGGCGAAGATAGTTAACTTCATTACGACTCATTTGGACATTCACGGATATGCCTCTCAAAGATCTAATTGGATTCTTTAGTTCCTTGATGTTTATTTTTAGAAAGCACAGTTTTGTATGCTTCGACGTGCCACGTGTCATTCATGTTAAAACGGTCTTTAAAATTGTATATTCATGCACAAGTGGTATATTGTCAATAAATGGAAGACTGATAAAAATGATAGAGCTGGTTTGGTATGTGTGATGCCTGAGAAGTAGTTTATACAGGTGGACGCTTTAGCATGAGGTCAATACATTTGATTGAATGTGTCCCCCGCCTCTTGCCAGCTGAGAATGGTTCCATCTCACCGGCCACCTCAATGAGGCCAAGCGCAATAGAAAATGCATGGCTGTTTATATTGTACTAAGTAGCTAGACGCTTTGCTTTTTTTGCAGTAATTTCCATTTCAGGATCTTGGGTTAGCCAATTTTACCTCTTGCAATCTTGGGTACGATGGCATCACACAATAATCATACACAAAAAAAGACAAAACCGAACTTGAAGTTGAGTTCCCACTTTAGTTACCACATGGTTTCTTGGAAGAAAAAAAAAAGATGTTGCTATTGCACATATCTCACAAATGCGTCATAGCCCACTTTGGCATTATGAATAATTCCAAAATAAACAGTACTCTCCCATTCCCACAAGTGCATGAGGATATTTTGTATTGAGAGAAAAAAAAACAACAGAAGCAGTTGAATCGCACAGAACTCCGTAGCAGCACATGAAATGTTAGGGACATTTATTTTTTGGGGTGAAATTTTAGGATTAGCTTCCAAGGCACTTTCAAATTTGACTTTCTTTAAACTTTGAACTTTTAACTGACAAATGTGTCTTTTGAGTTGTAGTCTGTTTTTTGTCTGACACCGTATCATGCATCCGTGGTAAATTTGCAATATTTTACAATCTCAATTAAAAAAAAAAGATGAATTGAAATACAAAGTGAAAAAATGTAAAGTTGTGCAGGAATTTAAAGGGATGGCCGCTACTCATGAGAGGAGCGTCACTACACTGACACACCTCAAGATGGCAGAGTGGGGTTACAAAAGCGTCCTTTTCACTTGGTAAGTATATTTTCCTTCCATTGACAGTATAATGCATGTTTCCTGGGGCAACCTCATCGAGGAAACGTGCTCAGTCATTATCTAGGCAATGTTACATAATAAGGTATTGGCCATGCTTCCAAAATGCCCGGAGGACACTGATTGCAAATAGCGGACCGTGTAGTTGTCTGGATTACACTTGAATGTGAGCGGGCCCCTTCGGCATCACGGTAAACAACTTCCATTGTCTGTTTCAAGGCAATGTCAGATGTTGTGTTTATCTGGAAAATGAAAGGTCTAATGCCCTCTGGAGAGATAATCCCACCTCCCATCTGACAGGCCCGAGCCAGGCCTGTGTGCCCTGGCCAAGAACTGCCAGTCAAGTTGGCCGATGTCGACTTCTTTCTCTATTTTACAGAGACTGAAGCTCGCTTTTAAATGGACATTTTCCAAAAGGGGTAGAAACCAAAACTTTGGAACTAAGACAATGTCTTGACTGTTGGAGTTGAGGGCACATAGCTCCTTTTTATATGCTTCAAATTTGGATTCTGACCTTAGAAAATGTCTCATGCTGTAGTCATGACTTTATCATCATTGTTTCTTTGTTGAAGAAGCTATTGCATTGGTTTCCTCTTGTCTCGACTGTAATATAACTGCATCGCAAAAATCTCCTGTAACATACAACATAGTTCTAACCAAACTGGTAATTTAAATAAGTGAAAGGTTTGTTTCACAACTTGTGGCCGGCAGAGTTACACGGCTCATTCATAACGACCTCATTTTTAAAGCTATATGATGTCAATAGTTCCAAAGCTCGGCAGGCATTATTGATGGTTCTCAGAACATCAGGCATAAGCACAGTTGTCTTAATAAATGACTTCCATTTGATTGGAAGTACGGTTTAACTTTTTCACTGTTTTCGATGACATTCACAAGTCTCATGAAAACTTCATGCTGTATGATTTCCAGATGGCCACCATTGTCAATGAACCATGCCTACTTGGCAAGGGCTCCTTCATTCAGCGCTTATGCCTGGTGAGTGTTTCAGTCTTGGTGGGAGAATGAAGCGTTTGTCGTTTTTGAATTTAAGAAAAAATGTGTATGGATGGATAAATGGAGACACAGAATTTTTATTTGGCGGCAACAGTTTGCAAATTTTAATAATTATCGTCCTAAATTATTAGTATTATTTCCAGGCACTGACCTGAAGCAATTAAAACTATTGTAAATGTAACAATAATAAAAACTCAAGCAAGTATGAGGTAATGTGAAAAAAAGGAACAAAAATGAAGAACATGGAACGAAAAGTCGTATGTTAAATATAAACAATTGTGCATTACGTGCAATGCAGTTGAGTGACCTTAACGGGGCATCTTATGGAATTTAACTTTTTAATTGCGTGTATGCAAATATTGTAGTTTGGTCTCTGGAGTGTAAATGTTCCAGTAAATCCAGTCAATGTTTTTTGAGCAATTTCCTTTGAGTCCAAGCGGCCAGACAGACTGTCTGTTCAACAAAAAGTAAGTTCAGTGCAACCCCACGATATTGTAGGTTCTCGTTTGCGCTCTTGCTATATGGCCGAATTTTAAGCGTTATGCCATTTATGAAACGCCAGAAGAGCAGCAAAAAACAAATGTGACGAGAGCACTCATGCAGGCGCTGCTGTCGGCCACAGCTCATGCCCAGACCCTCACACACAGACTCACTGCCGTCACACGCCATCCCATCAGGCCGCAGCAGCTGCATAAGGATGGGAGGGAACAGATGCATCTCCCCCCACCCCATCCCCAAACCTTGCAGTTTAACGTGTTATCGTGGCGGAGGCAGCAGACAAGCTGACAAGTGCAAATGTGAAGATTGATATTCAGCACAAGGCAGCGCCGCCTTTTTAATGGAGCCACAAAGCAGACAGCACATGAATATTCACGGCGGCGGAAGCACAGCATTGAGTGTGATTAGGCTCTGCACTTCATTAGGCTAATTGTCACTATCGCCGGACTACACTCCACTGTGGACTCTTCTAACATTTGATCCAGGACTCAATGAACAAAGGCAAACAGGGCGAGGGACAATCAGCAGAGGGTGCGCATGCATGTGTGCACAAGCATTATGTGTGCACTACAAGCATGAACTATATGTTTGCTTTGCTGTATGCGGACATGTGACGAGCAATAATCACATCCGGTGCACATTTTGCTTTGTTAAAAAAAATAACAAATGCCCACTATCATTGATGTAGTCTGACAGTGAGCTAAAATGAGCCTTCCTAATTCATGCATTGTTCCTCAAAAGTACATTGGTGATAAAGTGACAAAAAAATAAATATAATAAGAGATGTTCTGGATCTACTTACAGGGAGAGATTTATATGTCGCTTTAAAGATCCAATTGCGACATTTTTTTTTTTTTTTAATTACCCTAAAATGGAAAAAAAAAATACATGCAAAAATAAGTTCAAAGCAAAATGGGAAATGTTCCTTGACCTAAAAGTGTATTTGAGCAACTTAGAGCCGACCGTACAAAATTAACAAAAATCGATCCCCCATGAAAGTGGATTTAAAAAATATATATTTTGTGTCTTTGGAAGGTTTCTTTGCACTCACTGCAAAAGTGATTCTGGAACTGGTCCAAATGCCTTTGGAACTTTATTTCTGTGGTGCCACTCATGTTAAATCTAACTGCATTACAATAATTGCATGACTGATGAGAGAGTACATGCACTTGTGCTCCTATGTTATTATAGGTACCAAACGATATTTTGCAAATGCTGAGTGACAATCATCCACGTATGTGAACAAAGATCAAAGGCGCGTACACTGCTTTACAGGTAATGTAAACACGTCATTAACTCTCCTTATTTCATGGCATTGCCTTGAGGGTAGAAGCGGTGCGGCGCGTTGCGTTTGTCATCAGCGAGTAATGACTGACACACTCACACAGCGCAATCATTGTCTGATGCTGTTGCTCTCAACATGGGCATGGCTCCAAACTACCTGTTACACATTTGACTATAACAATATTTGAATTGTAGTCACTGCGATCACTTTGAACGAGATGTGGAGGTGAATTACGTGGCACGTCCTTCATCAGAACGGTGTCCAGCCTGGAGAAGGCAATGGAACATTGTTGCTGGCTGCATGCTAATGGAACATTTAAACCACCACTGCTTTAATGAGCGCAAATTGACACATCTAATTGGTCTTCCTCGATAAACAAACTCCTGATTAGTGCATCAATTAGCCGGTTAATGAAGCCCTCGGTTTTGGATGTCTGCCCAATGTCATAGCTGATCAGGGAAAAGGACAGATCATGACTTCATAGTGAGGAAACATCTCTGTACAAAGGTCGAGCGCTTAAAGAGCCCATTTCATGGTTCTTTTACTTTCAAGTGGTAGTTACATATTCCTTTGGGTTTTCAATCTGGATTGTGGTTTGTTGTTTTTTTTCCTGTGTGCGTACTTGTGCATTTGTGTGCATCAATCTCATTTGAAAATTATTTGGTGAAGCCATGTTTTTTTTTTTTTTTTTTTTGCTGCTCTTTATATTGAATGTCATTATATTGTCCCGATTCTCAGGCACGCACACAGCATGCTTTTGGAAAATGTCAAAAAACATTTTTTTCCCCAGCCACAATAAATTGAGTGTGTCATTTCATGGAATCCACAGCCTCGTATGAAAAGAATTTATTTTCTGAGCTCGTATGAAAACTCACTAAAAGCCTCAAATTCTGTTTTTCCATTTGGGTGTGCGCTTTGATGTCACTCTGCCCCTCCCCTCCCCATTCATGCGCCTCACACACATTCCTTGATGACTCATGAGATACATGAGGAATGCACGTCTACAATGTAACACCACAGCGTGACATCACATAGCTCCACGCCTCCCCAAAAAACTGACAGTTCCCAGTTTTTGCACGTTTTCAACATTTTTTTTTTTTTTTTGTCGAAATGATTTTACTTTGCATGGCTCCTTTAAAACACCTTCCCAAAGTTGCGTATGAGGAGCTTACTCCAAAAACTCCACTAAAACACGCAGAAAGAAGACAATGAATATGACAACCCCCCTCCATCCGTCAAACAGGAAGTGTCCAACTGTCCGAGATAAAAGGCTGATAAATACCGCATGAATCACAGTTAATTGT